ATTTTTAATGAACAAAATAAACCTGTTATTTCTAGGAAAATAATTGACAGTATTTGTTGCCAAAGATAAAATTTGAGCTTTCAAGCAAAAATTAGGATTTTAAAAAACTGCACTGGCCATTATAAGCTTAAAAGCTTCCTAACATTTAGAGACATTTCTCTTGAGATCAGTAGTAATATTAACAAATGTGAGTTTTTAAACATATGCAATGAATGTGAAAACACTTGGAAGATCTGTATAACTCAATGCACCAATAATTTCCAAATAACTACTGTATGGTGTGACAAAATCATGCTTTGGCAAAAGATTGGTTCAAAGTACCAGACAGACCAATGAATTATAATGTAACAGAGTATGAAAAGTTCTTTGATATGGTTTCAGATTCCACACTGCCACTAATCTTTTTAAAAAATATTTTTTTTCTTTATTAATTTAGAGGAATGAAGAGGGAGTGAAAGAAACATCGACTAGCCTCCTCCTGCATGTCTCCCACTGGGGATTTGGCCCACAACCTGGTCATGTGCCCTGACTGCTTGGTGCATGGGTCAACGCTCAACCAGTGAGCTACACTGGCCGGGCACTGCCACTAACCTTTAAGGAAACTACCATTTGTCAAATTTTAGTGTAGTATCAATATCCACAGTTACAAATAAAAGCCACTATCATCACAAACTGAAGAAGCAGATATGAGAATCCAGCTTTCTATTAAGCCTGACATTAACTTTCAAGAGATCTGTAAAAACAATTCCACTCTTATGATTAAATTTATTTTAGAAAAATAAAATTATTTTTCATAAACATACTTATGTCAACATGTAATGGGTTTATTAATGTTAATGAAATTTAAAAAATTTGTTTTATTTTCTAACTTGGTCCATATTGATAGCTCAATAATTCTCAATAATTTTTAAAAGTGTAAAGGAGTACTGAGACAAAAAATTTTGAGAATCATTGATCTAGTCCAACATTTGTTCCCCCATTTTATAGATGGGTAAGCTGAGGTTTGGAGTGGGAAGGAGGCACCCTTCAGAAGGAGATTTCTGCTGTGGTCTTAATACTCCATATTTTCTGTAAGCCTTTGAGAACAGGTTAATCCCTTTTCACACAGCCCTGCAACCCCCCTCTCCCCTTTGACAGCTGTCAGTCTTTCTCTATCAATGAGTCTGTTTTTATTTTGTTTGTTAATTTATTTTGTTCATTAGATTCCACATATGAGTGAAATAATACGGTACTTGTCTTTCTCTGATTGGCTTATTTCACTTAGCATAATGCTCTCTACCTCTATCTATGCTGTCATAAAGGGTAAGATTTTCTTCTTTTTTGTTTATTTATTTTTAAAAATTCTTTTTTCCTTTATTGATTTTAGAGAGAGAGGAAGTGAGAGGGAGAGAGAGAGAGAGAGAGAGACATCGATGAGAGAACATCGACTGGCCGCCTCCCGCATGCCCCCCACTGGGGAACGGGCCCACAACCTGGGCATGTGTCCTGGCTGGGAATCGAACTGGCAACCTCTTGGTGCATGGGTCGATGCTCAACCACTGAGCCAGAGCAGCCGGACTCTTTTTTATTTTTTTTATTTATTTATTTTATTTTTTTCTTTCTTTTTACTTTTTTTTTTTTTTTTTACAGATAGAGTGGGAGGGAGGGAGAGGGGGACAGAGAGAGAGAGAGAGAGAGAGAGAGAAACATCGACGTGAAAGGGACACATCGAGTGGCTGCCACCCGCACGACCAACCAGGGCTGGGGACAAACTGCAACCGAAGCACGCGCCCTTAGCGGGAACCGAACCCGGGTCTCTCCGGACCGCAGGGCAACGCTCTAACCGCTGAGCCAAACTGGCCAGGGCTCTTTTTTATTTTTTATTGTTGAGTAGTATTCCACTGTGTAAATGTATCACAGCTTTTTAATCTACTCATCTACAAATAGACACTTGGGGTGCTTCCAAATATTGGCTATTATAGGGGTGCATGTTTTTCACCTTTTGTTTTTGTTTTTATCCTCACCTGAGGACTTTTTTTTTGCACTTATCTTCAGACAGAGCAGGAGAGAGAGGAAGAAAGAGAGAGAAACACCGATGTGAGAGAGACACACATAGAGCGGCTGCCACCCATACAACCCCAACCAGGGCGGGGACAAACTGCAACTGAGGTACATGCTCTTAGTGGGAACCAAATCCCGAACTCTCTGGTCTGCGGGCCGATGCTCCAACCGCTGAGCCAAACCAGCCAGGGCACCTTTTGAAAATTATAACTTTGCAGGCTATATGAAAATAAATACATACTAGGTGGTAATAAGGTAAGAATAAAAACAGGGTAAGAGGACAGCTATTGACTAGTGGTGTTGTATGTACTATTTAATATAGGGCCAATCAATCAGCAAGTCCTGTAATTTCTCTCTTTTAATTATAAGAGGGATCTATGGTCTACACTGCCACAACACTAATCCAGACAATCATCTCTAATCTGATCTTCCTATCTAACCCCATCATCGACTGTCAGATGATCACTTTCAAAAACATTTATCATGCCCCTCCTCTCCACTGGCTCCCTATGGTGCAGTCGGTTTCTCTATGGTGGAGTCAAGTTTTGTGTAGGCCAAAGCTTACACAATTCCAGAGATCCTCTTTAAGAAAAATAATACATGCCCTGGCCAGTTTTCTCAGTGGTTAGAGCCTTGGCCAGTGGACCAGAGAGTCCTGGGTTCGGTTCCTCAAGGCCCACGAACCTTGGCTGCAGTTTGTCCCTGGCCTGGTTGGGGTCGTGTGGGTGGCAACCAGTGGATATGTCTCTCTCATGCTGATGTTTCTCTTTCTCTCTCCCTCTTGCTCTATCTGAAGATAAATGCAAAAAAAAAAAAAAAGTCCTCTGGTGAGGATAAAAAAAGAAAAATAATACAACATATGAGGTACAGTGCAAATAAATGACAGGTCTAGAAACTTAACACTTTTATTAGCTTCACTATAATTCCATCTCTGCAGAGAACCCAGAAATTGACCCAAGACAATATGCTCAATTAATATTTGACAAAGGTGGCAAGAGCATACAGTGGAGTCAAGACAGTCTTTTCAATAAATGGTGTTGGGAAAATTGGACAGCTACTTGCAAAATAATGAACTAGAACACCAACATACATCATACACGAGAATAAACTCAAAATTAATAAGACTTAAATGTAACTCGTGAATCTATAAAAATTCTAGAAGAAAATGTAGGCGGCAAAATCTCAGACATCATACGCAGCAGAATTTTCACTGATATAACACCTAAGGCAAGAGAAACAAAGGAAAAAATGAACACATGGGACTACATCAAACTAAAAAGCTTCTGCACAGCAAAAGAAACAATCATCAAAATGGAAAGGGATCCCACTATATGGGAGACCGTAATCACCAATGATGCATCAGATAAGGGTTTAATTTCCAAAATATAGAGAGTGCTCATACAACTCAACAAAAGGAAGACAAAGAACCCAATTAAAAAATGGGCAGAGGACCTAAATAGACACCTCTCCAAAAAGGACATACAAATGGCCAAGAGACATATGAAGAAATGCTCAACCTCACTAATCATTAGAGAGATGCAAATTAAAACAACAATGAGGTATCACCTCACACCTGTCAGAATGGCCGCCATCAACAAATCATCAAACAAGTGTTGGTGAGGGTGTGGAGAAAAGGGGACTCTAGTACACTGCTGGTGGGAATGCAGACTGGTACAGCCACTGTGGAAAACACTGTGGTGTTACCTCAAAAAGTTAAAAATTAAACTGCCATTTGACTCAGTGATCCCACTTCTAGGAATATACCCTAAGAAACCTGAAACACCAATCAGAAAGAACATACGTACCCCTTTGTTCATAGCAGCACTATTTACAATAGCTAAGATCTGGAAACAACCCAAGTGTCCATCAGTAGATGAGTGGGTTAAAAAGCCGTGATACATGTACACAATGGAATACTATGTAGCTGTAAGAAAGAAAGATCTCGCCCTAGTCGGTTTGGCTCAGCGGTTGGAGCGTTGGCCTGTGGTCCAGAGAGACCTGGGTTCGGTTCCCGCTAAGGGCATGTACCTCGGTTGCAGTTTGTCCCAGGCCCTGGTTGGGTCGTGCGGGTGGCGACCACTCGATGTGTCTCTTTCACATCGATGTTTCTCTCTCTTCCTCTCTTTCCCTCCCGCTCTATCTGAACAAAGAATGGAAAAATGTCCTCCAGTGAGGATAAAAAAAATAAAAAAGAAAGATCTCTTATCCTTTGAGATGGCATGGAAGGACTTGGAGAGTATTATGCTAAGCAAAACAAGCTAAGCAGAGAAAGACAAGTATCACATGAAAGACAAGTATCACATGACCTCACTTATTTGTGGAATATAATGAACTAAATAAGCTGCTAAACAAAATTAACCCAGAGACATAGAGGTGGGGTACAGACTGACAAGCCTCAAAGGAGGAGGGGCTTAGGGGGGGGAAGAGATAAACCACAGAATTTACATGCATGTATGCATGACCAATGAACATAGACAACAAAGCTGGGGATGAGGTGGGGGAAGGGGAGAAGGGTGTCAATGGAGTAAAAATGAGAAACATCTGTAACAAAAACAAATTAATAAAAATAAAGTAATAAATCCGTTCTCTGCCTACACCTCTACTAAGTTCTTTTTTCTCTAATTTAGGATCTTTTTCCGTGCAACTTCTGCCTTGAAGGTCTTTACCGCCCCTTTTTGCTTAGCTAACTCTTTCAGTATTCAACTAACAGCTCCCAGTCCTCCCTGATTCCCCCAACTGGAGTAGGGACCTTTACGAAGTGTCTCCCAGTACTCCAAGTATCTAGGCGGGGCCACCATTCCGCGTGAATGTTTGTTCTTTTTCAGCATCCTCTAATCCGGATTTGCACTGAGATGTAAAGGTAAGCAGAGCCCGGGGAGGAGCCAGCCGTAAGCCACACCCCCTTTCGTCCCAATTGGAGCGCACCACCTCTCCGGAACCAACGAGTTTCGCGTTGTTGTTCCGGTCGGAATTACCCGGCGGTGCACGCTGACATGGCTGCGCTGGTTGTGAGAGGTGTTTGGGACCTGCTGAAGCAAGCGGACTTCGCGAAAGTCCTGCGGAGACACCGCCATAAGAAGAAATGGGTAAAGTCCAGCCGGGGACCCAGGAGGGAACAGTGATAGTAGCCTCTGTCGGCAGCCCCTCGGGAAACTTCTCCGGCCCTTCCACGTCACGCTTCGTTCAGTTCGGTTCGCTACTCCCGCCTCTTTGGAACGCCTTTGACCTCTTTACCCCGCCCCTTACGGGGCGTCACTAAGCTCCTCCCTCTGACATCTGTATCGTCATCATCTCTGTCCGCCCTTTTATTTCGCCACAAGTCTTCGCCTCTCCCTCTAGTTACTTCTGCAGCTTCTTGTGTCCGCCTCTCTAAGTTACGTAATCACTTCCGCCTTCATTCTTCCAGTTACGTCACCGCCTCTTGTTCTCAGTTCTAGGTTATCTTCCCCTTGACCCCTGCTACCCTTTCCACTTCCCGTCCTCCCTTTTTCCCTCCCTCCCCCTCTTTCTTACCCTGCCTCTTCCCCTTCTCCCACAAGACCTCTTCTCCTCCATTCTGTATAGAATTTCCAGCCCAGTCACCCTCACCCCTCGAAAAAGGCCATAGCGACTTTCCCATTCTTCCTGGGTCTCCACCGTCCTCCGGGAAAGGATTGAACCCTTTTCTCACCTTCGAGCTGCCTCTGGCGCCCAGGAAAGGTTACAGCGATCACCCTAACCATACCTCTGGCCCGTCCCCAAACCCGGGCAAAAGGTGCACCGACTCCCCTCATACTCTGGGTTCTCCCCGATTCTCCAGAGACCCTTTCTCTGGCCTCACCTGTAGCTCTGGTATTTCTTCCAAAGCCAGCAAGCCTGGCTCCCTACCCGAACCCGCACCGTCCCTCTCCCCATCCCCACAAACTTCCCTTTGCCTGGCAGGATGTTCTTTTGAACCCTGTTCTCCACCCCTCGGAGGGCAATACTGCCACCAGCCTATCCACTTGGGTTTGCCACATCTGAGCCCTTGTTTTGACCGGTTCAGACTTAAGGGGTCACCCTGTCTTCATCCACAGAGCCTTGACTACAGCTTGATGAGTCCTCAGAGAACACTCGGTCCTGGTCCCCAAAGCCCTTACATTGACCAGAACACTCATCTCTGTCAGTCTGTTCAATACCCTTCAGCCTTGGTAACAAGCCCGGTGACCTCTCTTCCCCTCACTCATGTCCCTTTGGAAAGTGGCCCCACATTTTCACCTCCCCTTGCTCACCGACCCACGGAAAAAAGACCTGTAATTTCCCCACCAATTTCTCAAAGGGGTTTGGAGATCTCACAGAACTCCCCTCTGTACCCTTCCTGGTCCTTAGGGAGAAGTTATAATGATCCTCTTTCTTCAGCATCTTCGCCACCCACTGGCCAGTTTTACCAAGACTACCTTAAACCTCCAGACTCTTGTGAACCTAAACCACAGCTTGACTCATCCCCTGGGAAAAATTACTGTAGCTCCCCACCCTCTTCTCAGGCAAATGTGCCTGGTTGTGCTAGCTCACCTCAGGAGGGCTCACATAACTATCCCCATCTTACCCCAGAGGCCCACATATCTACTTCTGGGAGCCCTTATGGTGTCATCTATTTACCCCCTGGGATTATTGGTTCTTCTTGCTCACCCCAGTCCCAGGCTCCCAGGAAGCCTTGCTTTGAGTCCATTTCCTCCCGGGAGACTGCTGGGAATTCTTACCTCTTTTCTGGCACCACGATTTCTGGTCCCCCCTGTTCCCAGGAACCACCTCTTCCCCTGTCCTCTCATTGTCCTAATTCTGGCTTCTCTTTCCCTTCACCCCTGAGCAACCAGTTTATATCTCCACCTCAGTCACTTCACCATAGAAGCTGTAACGAATCCCCTCTCCTTATTCCAGTTTGTCCCCAAGTGAAGTCCCCCAAATATCTAGAGTTAAAACAGCCACATACGCCCCACAAACATAGCTCCCTGGTCAACCCTGCCCAGGACACTCCTTCTGACCAACCCAAGCCCCCTAAGGTCAATGCCTTTCCTCCACCTCCCACCAAATCTTCTGGTCTCACTGGTCCTTCTTGTATGGTGACATCCATCACAACTTGTTCAAAATCCCGCCCCAAAAAACTTCCTCAAGGGACTGTCTTACCTACTCTGGTCCCTAGAACCCTCAAAACTGTTATCCCCACTTCCCTCCCTCTCCGCTCTCCTTGTAATCCTATCTTACCCAATATTTATACTCAGAGCCACCCCCATGGACCCTTCCTAGGAGCCCCATGCAATACTCATATATATTCTGTGGTTCCCCCGACCCCTGATCCCTGCCCACTCTCTGGTTCCACAGGTCCCCCTCAGTGTCATAACCAGCCCATGGTGCCCCGTTGTAGCACCTATGGCACTCCCAGGGACCCATCTCAACCCCCTCGTCAGCCTATAGGACCTCCATGTTCTACCCACATCTATTCTTTTACCCCTTTAAGAATGCCTTTTGACCCCCAAAGTTTTCCCATTGCCCGTCGACAATGGGGCCACCCTGACACTATGCCCTGTGGCCTCCACATCTATTCTGTGGCTTCTCAAGGCTCTCCCAAAGAGCCTCCCCAGATACCCTACAGCTCTCCGTTGCCTTCATCCAAGAATTCCAGCTGTAGCACTAACCCCAGCTGTAGTTCAACTGTTAATATTAGTGAATGCCAGAGTAGTAACAGGCAGAACAAGAATACCCACCAAAGCAGAAGTCAGAGCCAGTGTGAGAGTCCCCACCATCCTAGCAGAAGTCGGAGTAAAAGCAAGAGTCTCCATTTTAGTGGAAGTCCAAACCCGAGCTGGAGCCCTCATCAAAACAAAAATCAAAGCCAGAAAAATAGTCCTGAACAATGCATAAATGAGGATCAGAGTGAGAGTCTTCAACTTGGCATATTTCAGGGACGGAGTGAGAGTTCCCAATATAGGAAAAGTCAGGGCCCTAGAAAGAGTGCCCTCCATAGCAAAAGTTGGAGCCGAAACAAGAGTCCCATCCTGGCAAAAGGCAGGGCAAGAGCAAAAGCCCCTGTCACAACAGGAGCAGAAGCAACAGTCTTCACCATAATGAGAAATGAGAGCCAGAGCAAGAGTTCTGACCAAACAAGAAATCCAGGCCAAAGCAAAATACATGGACCCGAACAGGACTGCCAGCCATAGTAAGCATCCAGCTGTAGCAATCAGGACCAACTTATAGACTCCTCAGTTGAAGTATTCATTTTCCTTTTAATCTTTCATGCTCTTCAAGCCTGACTGATGTTCCTCTATGCTACCCCATGCAGTCATCCTATAAGCTCCCGGGTTTTTTTGTACCTCAGAGTTTCTGTTAGCTCTCCTTTTCCTACCTTCCTGGGGTCTGGAAACTCTCCCAAAATGACCCTCTACCCTGTGATTGCACTGTGGTGTCTTCTACTGCATGACCTTAGGTAAGTTACTCTCATCTCCATCAAATGTGGAAGGTTGATATTTTTTGTATCCCACTGAACTATCTGTTGTGCTCACATACGCTAGGAGACATGAAAGTGCTTTAGAAAATGGAAGGACTGTTTAGAGAGAAAGGGTCTTTTGTTTTTAAGCCTGGCCTGAAGCTTTCTGCAAGGCCTCTATAGTTTTTTTCCAATCTTCTGTAGATTTTCCTCAAGAGTCCTCTTCTGAGCTCCCATTCTGTTAAGTTCCTCTTACTCCAAGGCCTTAAGGATTGCCCCCTTTCTTGGTGAGCCCCATGTGCCATCATGAGAGCTACAGCTTTCTTTCTCTCACAACCCTGAAATAGAAAGACCAGGTCCTCACTAGTTTTCTCTACCACATTTCTCTGGCAGCAGAGGCAGGGTCCAAAGTCAGGAGTGGGCACTTACTGGATCTACATTAGCTCTAGAGATCTGAGGTATTGGTGGGGTCAGGCAGTAGGGGGTAGAGGCAAGATTGGAAAACAGATAAACGTATTCTTTCCCTTTTAGGCTACCACGGAGCCCAAATTTCCTGCCACTCGACTGGCACTGCAGAATTTTGACATGACCTATGATGTGCAGTTTGGGGATCTTTGGCCATCGATCCGGGTTAGTCTTCTCTCAGAGCAGAAGTATGGGGCACTGGTCAATAACTTTGCAGCCTGCGATTATGTGAGTGCTGAACTGGAGCAGCTCCATGCCAGGGACTTTGTGAATAAAGCCTACTTGCATGGGGAATTGGAGCCTGAGAGTGGCCAAATGGCAGATCCATCCCCAGCTTCCTGGGCCTGCAGTCCAAACCTTCGATGCTTCACTTTCACCAGAGGAGATGTCAGCCGTTTCCCTCCTGCCAGGTAGGATCTGGAGCCATGGCTGGGGCTGTCCTGAGTGTCTGCTGGAAGTAGACAGGAAAAGACCCAGTTCTTGCCTTCTTTCTTTCTTTCTTTAGTTTTTATCCTCACCCAAGGACATTTTTACATTTATCTTTAGATAGAGCAGGAGGGAGAGAGGGAGGAAGAGAGGGAGAGAAACAACAATGTGAGAGAGACACATAGATTGGTTGCACCCACACGACCCCAACGGGGGCCGGGGATAAACTGCAACCGAGGTACGAGCCCTTAGCAGGAACCGAACCCAGATCTCGCTGGTCCCTGGGCCAACGCTCTAACCACTGAGCAAACCGGCCAGGGCTGTTTTATTTATTAAAAAAGATTTTTTTTCTTTACTGAATTTTAGAGAGAGAGGTAGAGATGGAAACATCAGTGAGAGAAAACATTCTGCAAGCCCCCCAGGGGGGATTGGGCCCACAACCTGGGCATATGCCCTGACTGGGGATCGAATCAGTGGCCTCTTGGTGCATGGGTTGACATTCAACCACTGAGCACACAGGCTGGGCTCTTGCCTTCTTTAAATAGAGATCATAATGTTGCTAATATTTACTGAGTGCTTATACATGTTTGCCATTTTTCTAAGTGCTGTACATATGTTATCTCATTTTGTTCTGTTACCAGCCCTAAGAGGTTATATTATTCCTCTTAACATTTGAGGAAACTAAGGTGCAGAGAAGTTAGGTCCTTCCTTAGTTGTTTCAGGTCCCTTAGATAGTAAGTGGTACAGCAAATATTTAAATTCAGGTGGTCTGACACCAGAGCCTGGACTTTGAACCTACTCTGATGTACTGCTTCCTATAGAAAACACTCACTTCTGATGAGCATTTTACTATATCCTGTCCAGTTAAAATGTGTGTTAATTACAACTGCTTTCTCATTTTCCCCTCATAACCACCCATCAAAGTGAGTAGGATAAGGACCCTCATGGTACCAAAGGAGAAGAGGGACTTGCCTAGGAAACAGGGTTTGCCTAGGGACACAGAGTTAGTCCAAGACCAGGAAAAAGAAAGGAAAACTTCTGGTCTTCTGATCCACTGCTCAGATGTATATGAAGCTGAATGAAAAAAGACTGTAACCAAATGCTAAATTGTGCTTTACAAATTGAGAAAAGGAGAGATCAGAGTTAGTTGTAGAATGTGGAATTGATCTTTGAAGTATTGAGTCATTCAATGGATTTTTATTGTATACCAAATGCCAGGCATTCTTAAGTGCCTATGTTACGGATGTATCAGCCCTCATGGAGCTTACAGTCTAGTGAGGAAGACAGCTATTAAAAAACTCTTTAAGCCCAGCCGGTGTGGCTGTGGCTCACTGGTTGAGCGCTGTCCCATGCACCAAGAGGTCACCGGTTTGATTCCTGGTCAGGGCACATGCCCAGGTTGTGGGCCAAATCCCCAGTGAGGGGCATGCAGGAGGCAGCCGATCGATGTTCTCTCTCATCGATGTTTCTGTCTCTCTCTCTAAAATCAATAAAGAAAAAAAATAAACAAAAAAAATCTTTAAGTCCTGGCAGGTTTGGCTCAGTGGTTAAAGCATTGGCCACAGACCAAAGGGTTGAGGGTTAGATTTCCAGTCAAGGGCACATACCTGGGTTGCAGGTTTGATCTCTGGCCCTGGTTGGTCTGTTGTTCGGGAGGCAACCAGTCAATGTGTCTCTCTCACATTGTTTCTCTCTCTCTCCATCTCCCTTCCACTCAGTCTGAAAATACATGGAAAAACATCCTCAGGTGAGGATTTAAAAAACAAAACAAAACTATAATTTTGATAAGTACTACAAAGGAAAAGTGCAAGATACTGTAATTAGGAGATGTAACCCAATCTTTTCTGAGGATGTGAAATTTAAGCTAAGACCTGAAAACTGAGTCGGATTTGAAGCTGGTGGCATGGGGGTGGGATGGGGATACGAGGCTACAGGAGCAGGAGCCAGATTATAAAGGTAGCATAGGCCATATAGGATTTTGGACTTTTTCTCTAAGGTTAAGAGGGAACCATGAAAGGTTTTAAGCTGGGGAACGATATGACCAGATTTGAATTTTTAAAATATCATTTTGGCTGCTGTGTGGAAAACAGATTAGACAGGGGCAAAGCTAGAAATAGGAATGTAAATTAGGCTTTTGCAACAGCCCTAAGCGACCGGCTTGAAGGAAGGCTGTATGCTTAAGAGTAGTAAGAGATGAGGCTGGAAAAGTATATGGAGACCATATGTGGGAATCTTGAATGCCAGAAGTTTGTAAGTTGGGGAAAGGGGATTATTTTTCTGGTGGCCCAGGGTTGCTTAAAAATAGCTGGAATTGCCCTGGCCGGTTTTCCCAGTGGTTAGAGCATCAGCCTGAGGTCCAGAGAGACCCGGGTTCAGTTCCCGCTAAGGGCATGTACCTCGGTTGCAGTCTGTCCCCGGCCCTGGTTGGGTCATGCGGGTGGCAGCCACTCGATGTGTCCCTTTCACATTGATGTTTCTCTCTCTCTCTCTCTCTCTCTCTCTCTCTCTCTCTCTCTCTCCCCCCCCCCTTCCCCCCCCTCTCCCTCCCACTCTCTCTGAACAAAAAATGGAAAAATTGTCCTCGGGGTGAGGATAAAAAAAAATAGCTGGAATTGCCCTGGCTGTTTTGGCTTAGCAGTTAGAGCGTCAGCCCAAGATTCCTGGTCAAGGACAGGTACCTGGGTTGCAAGTTCGATTCTGGGCCCTGGTTGGGGTCCTACAGAGGGAGTGAGGGTAGGGCAACCAGTTGATGTGTCTCTCTCCCACTGATGTTTCTCTCTTTCTCTCCCTCCTTCCTCCCTTTCACTCTATCTAAACAATCAATGGACAGGTAGACTCAGGTGAGGATAACAAACAAAAAGCTGGAATTGCCAGCGCTGTATGGCAATTCCATGTGTCCTTAGTACATTCTGCTGTAAATTGCCAAGATCTGTTTTAGAGAACCACCAGAAAGGGTTACAGAGCAGGAGAAAGGCAATAATGCACAGTAATTACAAGCATGGGCATTGAAGTCAAGAAAACCTAGATTTGGCTTGGCTGGTATGGATGAGTGGATTGAGCGTCATCCCATGGACTGAGAGGTCCTGGTTGGATTCCCGGTCAGGGCACATGCCCAGTTTGTAGGCTTGGTCCCCAGTAGGGGGCGTGTAGGAGGCAGCTGATTGATGTTTCTCTCCCATATTGATGTTTCTGTCTCTCTCTAAAAAAATCAATAAAAACATATTTAAAAGAAAAGAAAACCTAGATTTGGATCCTGCCTTTGCCACTTGTTAGACATGTGGCATTGGATTACTATAGCTCACTGTATGCCAGCTACTGTTCTAAGCATTTACTTACATCAGTTTCTTTACTCCTTACAATAATCCTGTCTGCTGAGTACGATTTTTGCAGATGAGGATACTGAGGCACAGAGAAGTTGAGTACTTTGCTGAAGTTCACACAACTAATGAGCAATGGGGCTGGATTTGAGATCCAGGCAGACTGGCTTTGCAATTCGGATTCTCCCGCCTCGTAGGGTTGTGGTGAGGATTAAATGAAATGATGCATGTTAATCACCTAGTATAATACCTTCAATATAGTACTCATAAATACTATATCTTACTATTGACATTATTCTCATCAAAGCTATGCTTCAGAAAGGTAATTTTAGTCATTGTGGGGGTGGGAAGATAGATTATAGCAGGTTTAGAAACCAATTTGGAGGTATTGGCTTTAGGCAGAACCATAGAGTAAGTAAGAACTATGTAGTTTCCTAAGTTAAGCTGTCTGAGATGCTCAGCTGCTATTCAGGGAGGACACTTTGAGAGTAGTTGGGAAAACCACCCCTATATGTTTGGATTTTTTTTTCCTTCTTGTCTTGATGGGCTCCCTGTAAATCAAGAGGATCTTAATCTCTCAGGAGTTCAAGGATGTATTCAGGGAGTCCAGGAACCTCCTGAAATTGTCCAAAAAGTTATGCTTTTCTTTTTTTTGGAAAGCCACTGTAGCTTTTAGCAGATTCTCAAAACTGTGAACTAAATAAAGGTTAAGGAATGATGCTTTCAAAAGGAAGGAACTTACCCGGCTGGTGTGGCATAGTGGTTGAGCGTCAATCCATGTACCAAGAGGTCACTGGTTGGATTCCCGGTCAGGGCACATGCCCGGGTTGTGGGCCAAATCCCCAGTCAGGGGCATGCAGGAGGCGGCCAGTTGATATTCTCGATGTTTCTTTCTTTCTTTCTTGTTTTTTAAAGTAATACATGTTTATTGTGACTATTTTATTTTTTATCCTCACCTGAGGACATTTTTTTCATTTTTTGTTCAGATAGTGTAGGAGGGAGAGATTAGAAGAGAGAGAGAGAGAAACATCGACATGAAAGGGATACATCGAGTGGCTGCCAGACGTACTTCGGTTGCAGTTTGTCCCCGGCCCTGGTTGGTCGTGCGGGTGGCAGCCACTCGATGTGTCCCTTCACGTCGATGTTTCTCTCTCTCTCTCCCTTCCTCTCTCTCCCTCCCACTCTATCTGTACAAAAAAATGGAAAAATATCCTCGGGTGAGGATAAAAAAAAAAAAGATTACTCTGGCTACTATGTAGGTGAATGGGTGGATGAGTAAATAAGTGAATGTGGGTCCGAGAAGTGAGTTTTTGCTAAGTAGAACTCAGTAGCCCCTGAGGACATGGAATTGGTGACCTTGACTTCCAGTGGGTCTTCTGATTTGGAATTTGACAATAAGGTGCTCTTCTCTCTTCTAGGCTTGGCAGCCTGGGTGTCATGGACTACTACTTGATGGACGCTGCCTCCTTGCTGCCTGTCCTGGCCCTTGGCCTGCAGCCTGGCGACATGGTGCTTGACTTATGTGCAGCCCCTGGGGGGAAGACACTAGCATTGCTTCAGACTGGCTGTTGCCGTAAGTCCAAGGGCTGGGTCTTGAGCAGGGAGGTCTCCCTACCTCACCCAGTTAGGGGCACACTGAATAGGATGGGCTCTCTGCCCCTAAGGTCAGAGAGGGGATAGTGCTTGCTGGTGTATTTTTCCTGTTGGTGATTATTTCCTCTATTTCTCTGTTGGTTGGCCAAGAAAGACTGTTGAGCAGAGCAAGGTCTCTGAAGGCAGAGTAAAGTAGTGCCCTGATCAATCTACTTTCACCCCTGTTTACTTTGTCTCTAAAATTAAGTTCCATGTCCTTAGCCTGCCAGCTAAAGCAATAAGTTCTAGCTGCAGCAACTCTTTATAGTTTTATGTTATTCTTCCCCAGGCTTTATGTACTTTAGCCATATCCTGCTACTTTCTGTTGCCCAAATTAGCCTGCCCCTTTGTTCGTGTTATGTTTTCTCTCTAGAATACCTGACCCCAGGTGGCCTCTCTACATCCTTTTAACTTTCAAGCCTCAGCTCAAGTCTGCCACATCCTGAAAAGTCTTTCCTCATGACCTATACTGGCCAACTGAGAAGTGATGCTTCTGTCTTCTATGCATCCAGTCATGGGCATCACCCTTGCAGCTGTCAGCACATTATTAGCCTTGCATCAGAGCTCCTTCTTCAATATTATGAATTCTGAGAACAGGCTTATGTCTTATCATTTTAGTAGTGTAGCCTAACCTGATCCTTGTGTACTGTAAATGTTCTTCACTTTTGTCATCCACTGGCCTACATCCTGCCTTAAAATAGGCAGTATTTTCTCCTTAAGGACCTGACAAATATCCACAAGGGGGCTGTGATTTTCACACTCACCCTGGCACTCAGACAAGTTTCTCTTGCAGTATGCCCTAGCCTTTTTTGGGGCCAGGACCCTTCTTTTCCAGTTCTCATCAGACAACTTGTACAGTTTGAGTTAGCTTCCGACTTCATGGCAGGCCCTATGGGTGATTCTTGAGAGGTACCACATTTGATCTCAGCCTTCTGTAAGTCCAGAGAGAAGAAAAGATGTTGATATGGCATAATGAGGCCAATGCAAGAGAGCCCAGCCTGTGTGCTGAGCTGTGCTGATCTTACTGAATGATGTGGGAATTCATCAGAAGTAGGATTACTTGGAAGAGGAGGAATTTGAACTAGGAGGAGCAAGAAGGGCCAAGGAGAAGTTGTTGAAAGTCTCTCTTCTAAGGTGTGCTAAATTACCAGGAACTCACCTCATCGCAGCGACTCCTTGATCCTAGGGAGACAGGAATTTCAGTGCAAGGAGAGAACTTAGAGTTCAACTAGTCCAGCCCTCCTATTTTATGGAGGGAGAAATTGAGCTGTGGAGAGATTAAATAAGTTAAATCTTTTATATAAGTTGAAGGTAGAGCCAGAACAGGACCCAGCTTTTCTGTTCTTATTTTATATCCAACTTCAAATTCCTCTTGAGCAGAGAATTCAATTTTTACTTCCTTGGTGTCCTCAAAAACTGGGACCATATTTCTTTGTGGGAACACTAAACTGTATTATAGTAGTGACCACTACCATTAGATAAGATGTGCACTCTCTAGTTTTTTTTTTTCTTCAAATATTAAATTTGTTGCCCAGCCAGTGTAGCTCAGTGGATGAGCATCATCCCATGGACTGAGAGGTCCCAGTTCCATTCCTGGTCAGGGCACATACCCGGGTTGCGGGCTTAATCCCCAGTAGGGGGATGTGCAGGAGGCACTGATTGATGTTTCTTTTTCACATCAATGTTTCTATGTCTCTCTCCTTTCCTCTCTCTCTTAAAAAAATTTTAAATTTATTGAGATAACCTTGGCTAAAAACATTATATAAATTTCAGATGTGCATTATAATTCTATATCTATACTCTATTGCATGCTTACCACCCAAAATCTAGTTTTCTTCTGTTACCATACATTCACTCACTGGTTATTGACCACACTTCCCGCTTCCATTTTACTCCTTGACTCTGAGGCCAGGTATCAATGGCCATTTGTCATGAAGTTTGCAGTAATATTTTTTCCTTATTGTAGAACTAAGAGCAAAATGAAATATTTCCTGAACTTGTGTCTGTTACAGAAGGGAAAATGAAAGATAGATGGTGAATCAATTAGGATTAGGTTTGGTAATATACAATAGAAAACTCAACTAAATGGCTTAAAGAAGAAAAGTTTATTTTTCTCTTACATGAGAGAAGCTGGGATATAAGCATTCCAGAGCTGGTATGGAGGCTCCACAATCATCAGGGTCTTGGGTGCCTTCTTTCTTTTGCAACCTATTTTATTGTTGGCTTTAGCACCATTGCTTGTGAGATGTTTTGTTGGGCCATGGCCTCTGAAGTTTCTTTATTCCCACAGACATAAAATGTCCATACTACCCAAAGCCATCTATAGATTCAGTGCAATCCCTATTAAGATCCCAATGGCATTTTTTATAGAAGTAAAAAAAAAATATATATATATATATATCCTCAAATTTATATTCCCATAGGCAATCTTGCTGCCAATGATCTCTCCACTTCCCGAACAAGCAGACTTCAGAAGATCCTTCACAGCTATGTACCTCAAGATATTAGGGATAAGAGTCGAGTTCGAGTCACCTCATGGGATGGCAGGAAGTGGGGAGAACTGGAGGGGGACACCTATGACCGAGTGAGTGATTCCTGACTTGGAACATCCAGTCAGCTAAATATGACCTCCTTAAGCTGACTCCAGACTCTGGGGCAGTAGGATTGAGCCCTACATGTTTGAGCATGTAGGGCTGTTTCTGGACCTGGTCAGCTCTCCATGGGGATTTGGAGAAAATAGGCATATGCAGTTTAGATGACTGGCTACTACTATCTTTATTAGAGACAGCAGTAAAAAGAGTTGAACCTGACCAAGTGTAAGAAAAGTTTATTAGGCTTATTTTATTTCTCAACTCATTTGGTTGCTCAGAAACCCTCACCAAAATAAGTATGAGCCAGCCCTGGCCAGTGTGGCTCGGTTGGGTGTCATCCCAAGGTTTCCGGTTCAATTGCTGATTCGATTCCTGGTCAGGGTACATGCCTAGGTTGTTGATCCCCAGTTGGTTCGCATGTGGGAGGTAATGGATTGATGTGACCAATGTTTCTCTTTCACATTGATGTTTCTCTCTCTCCCTTCCTCTCTCTCTAAAAGCAATAAAAACATCCTCAGGTGAGGATTAAAAAATTTTTTTAAAGTATGAATAAAAAAGTATGAATAAGCTTATTTATTTTTTGAATATTTATACAGCACATGGTACAAAAATCAGAAGGCGCAAAAGCGTATTCAGTGAAAAGTGCATTTCCCTCTTACTCCTGTCTCACAACCATCTACCTTCTCCCTACAGATGACCATTGTTTATATTTTATTCTATACCCTTGAAAATATATTCTTTGTGTATATACAAATATAAATGTGTGTGTATTTTTTAAAAAGTAAGAATGGTAGTATATATATTATACTCACTATTCTGAACTTGGTATTTTTTTTCAATTGATAATGTACCCTAAGATTCGGTCCTTTTAGTTTTATGTTTTTGAAGTATAATTGCTAGAGAATAGTTATATGCATTTAAGATTTTGACAGAAGTTACTAAATAACTTTGTGGAGGTTAAATCAGTTTTGATTTGGGTAATGAGTAAGAGTACCATTTCCTCATATCCTACCACCATTGGTGGTGTTAGACTTTTTGTTTTTTTGCTAAACTCAAACTGATAGTATATAATTTACATTCTGTTATTATGAATGATGTTGAAAGTAATTTCATATTTAAAAATTATTTCTATTTTATTTTTATAATTTTTTTTTTTATTATTGATTTTAGAGAGAGAAGAGGGAGAGGGAGAGAAAGATAGAAATATTGATGAGAAAGAACATTGGTTGGCCACCTCCTGTATGCTCCCCACTGGGGATTTGGCCCATAACTTGTACATGTGCCCCAACTGGGAATCGAACTGGCGACCTCTTGGTACATTGTGTCGACACTCAACCACTGAGCCACACCAGCCAGGTGTATTTTCTTTTAATTGACATGTTCTAAAAGTATTATTGAAAGCATATATTTCTAAAGATATAAAAAATATATAGCTATTGTTTCTGAGTTGTCATCTGTTCTCATCGTCCTTCCTCAACCACTCTAAGAAATTAAAAGAAAGACCAAGGATTATAGAATCTTGTTTTGGTGTGAGAGACCTGCTTCCTACCTGTGTAGGAATCCCCTATTCAGTTTTTTTGATATGGAAGCAAGTAGAACACAGTGGAGAGTGTGTGACCTCTGCCATTAGCCTAACCTGTTTACTGTATATATCACAGGGCTGCCACGAATTCACCTTGGGAAAGCTGCTTGATATTGCTGAATTTCAGCCATTTCATTTGTAAAATAGGGAAAACTACTACATACTGTTGTTATGAGGATTCAATGAAAATATATAGGGAAAGCTCTTAGCACTGTACCTGGCCATAAAGATTAGGCAGATACTAGGTGTCGTCGTCATTTAACCTGTGCCTGCATGCTCCCATTGACAGGTACTCTCTGAGGTTCTGTGACTGAACACCTCTGATGTTAGAAAGTTCTTGTTGAATTAAAATCTGTACATTGTATGGTATATGGTCGAATACTAGGATTCTGGAGTCAGACTCTGATGTTAGATTAGGTCTGTTGGATTAGAGTCCTGGCTCCATCACTTACCAGCAATTTACCAGGAGAAACTTGGGCAAGTTAACCTTTCATTAAACTTCAGCTTCTTCATCTATTAAATGATGATAATAGTAGTGCCTTTTTCATAAGTTAAGATTAAACAAGAATACATTTAGCCCTGGTCGGTTGGGCTCAGCTGTTAGAGCATTGACCCGCAGATGGAAGGGTAGCAGGTTCAGTTCTGGTCAAGGGCATGTACCTGGGTTGCAGGTTTGGTCCCCAGCCCCAGTTGGGGTTGTGTGGGAGGCAACCAATTGATGTGTCTCTCTCACATGGATGTTTCTCTCTCTCTCTCTCTCTCTCTCTCTCTCTCTCCCCCCCTCTCTCCTCTCCTCCCCCTCCCTCCTGCCCTTCCACTTTCTCTCTAAAAATCAATGGAAAAATATCCTTGGGTGAAGATAAACAAACAGAAAAGAATACATTTAGCACAGTTTCTGGAATATAGAAAGCACTTAATAATATTGTCATTATCACAATTTTTATTTTTTAATTAATTTTTTATACTCATCCGAGGGCTTTTGCATTTATCTTCAGATAGAGCGGGAGGAAGAGAGGGTGGGAGAGAGAGAGAGAAACATCCACATGAGAGAGAGACACACATTTACTGGTTGTCTCCCGCATGACCCAACCAGGGCCAGGGACTGAACTACAACCGAGGTACTTGCCCTTGACTGTAATTGAACCCACAACTCTTTGGTCCACGGCTGATGCTCTACTGCTGAGCCAAACTGGCCAGGGCCACAGTTCTCATTTTTATTATTATCATTTCTGTTGATTGATCCTAGCTATGCCTTCTGGAACAATATAGAATGAGCCACTTCCTCTTTTTAAAAAAAATATGTTTTTATTGACTTTTTTTAGAGAGAGAAGGGAGAGAGAGAAACATTGATGTGAGAGAGACAGATTTATCGATCGGCTGCACCCCCCCATTCCTCCTACTGGGGATTGAGCCCACAACCTCAGCATGTGTCCTGACTGGGAATGGAACCTGGACTACTCAGTCCCTGGGTCGATGCTCAATCCATTGAGCCACACTGGCTGGGCAAGCTGCCTCCTCTTTTTCTTGAAAGTGCTTCAGACATTTGAAAACAGTTTTAAAAAAAATGTTTTCATTGATTTTTTTTTAGAGGGAGAAGAAGACAGTTTTAATGTCCTGAAGATAGATGTCTTTGTTACTTTATTTGTTGAACAAATAGTTGTGTGCAAACTCAGTTTTCTTTTTATATGCATTTTCTTTTTATATTTAGCCTTGTTGAATCACTTCCTTTTAGGTATGTCTTTTATATACTGCATAGAATTGTGTTTTGCTTTATAAATGAATCTGTAAATTTTATTATTTTTTTTTTTTTTTTTTTTATTTTTTTTTTATCCTCACCTGAGGACATTTTTCCATTTTTTGTACAGATAGAGTGGGAGGGAGAGAGAGAGGAAGAGATAGAGAGAGAGAAACATCGATGTGAAAGGGACACATCGAGTGGCTGCCACCGCACGACCAACCAGGGCCGGGGACAAACTGCAACTGAAGTACGTGCCCTTAGCGGGAACCGAACCCGGGTCTCTCTGGACCGCAGGCCGACGCTCTAACCGCTGAGCCAAACCGGCCAGGGCAATTATTTTAAAACAGTTGATATCACTGATTAATTTGGTTTCAGCTCTGTTCAATCATTTTACTTTGTTTTAGTCACTGTGTCTTTCATTATGTGATCTCTCTTCTTTGTTCTTTTGGTTTTCTTTTGATGTATTATTGACAAAGGTTTATATTTTAAATCTACATTAGATAATTTCAGTGTAAAACTGTTCGGGGGCCTGGCTGGTGTGGCTCAGTGGTTGAGTGTCAGCCTATTCCCAGTGAGGACACATGCCTTGGTTGTGGGCTCAATCCCTGGTAGGGGGCATGCAGGAGGCAGCCGATCAATGTTGATGCTTCTCTCTCTCATTGACGTTTCTTTCTCTCTCTCCCTCTCCCTTTTTCTCCAAAAAAATCAATTAAAAAAAAAAGCATTAAAAAAATTGTTTTGGGGTTTAATTCTGCTGGTTGTAGTTTCTGCAAACTCTGTTCAAGGAGGCTTTTTCCTTTTAAGTTTTGTGGTTACTTTTGGCATCATAATTTTCTAATAACTTTTGGAGTATAACACAGAAGTGATCAAATCATAAGTTAATTGCTTAAGAATTATCTTTTATGAAATGCACTTCTACAGGATGGGGCAAAAGTAGGTTTACAGTTGTTCATATGGAAAATAATACAATAGTAAATAATAATTGAAGAATAAACTGTTTTGTATACTTACAACTGTAAATTTACTTTTGCCAAACCTTGTATTACTACTACCCTTTCAAGAACTATATTACCAGCATTCTAGAAACTCTTAGGCTCCTTTCTATCCTCCTAGAGGTAATCACTATTCTGGATTCTAAAACTATGGATGTTTCGAACTTTATATAAATGTAATCATATAGTAAGTACTCTTGTCTGACTTTTGTCTCAACATTATGTTTGTGAGATTCATCCATGTTGTTACCTATAGCAGTGGTTGGTTCACTGTTGTTGCTGGACTATGTCCCATGGTATGCATATATGACAATTTAATTGTTCATTCTATTCATAATAGACAATTGGGTTATTTCCAGTTTGGGACGATTACCAACAGCTTTGCTATGAACAGTCTTGTAAATGTTTTTTTGTTACACTTATGTACCCATTTCTGTTGAACTGTTGGATCATAGACTATTTATATGTTCAACTTTAGTCAATACTGTCAAATAGTTTTCCAAGTGATTGTGCCAGCTTACATTCCTACTTCCAGTCCCTCAAGTTTTTGTTTTTTAGTGGACTTCTAATGGTTTCAGATAGATATTTTAAATATTTTGTTAAGCATTTCTAGTTGTTTCAGCTGGATGGCTGGTTTGCAACAAGATATTGTGCCTTTACTAGGATTGAGAAAACCTGATTTTGTTTATTATCAGTTTATGATCATTGGCTAGTTAAATATCGAGCCCTAGTTAATTAGAAGATTAGTATTCCTCCTGAAAGAAACCTGCATTTGCTTTTTCCAGGTATTTGGAGGATCTGTCAACCCAGGACCATTAATTGCACTATATGGAGTTTTCTGGATCATTTGGGCATTATGAATTTGAACCTTTTACCTTAGTGATTACAAACTCTTAGGAAGAGTCTTTCTTTTTTTTCTTTTCACCCAGAGTTAAAGCCACAACAGACAAGTTCTCTTGTCTATTGTGGGCTGATTTTTTTCTAGTTCGTTGTTTGATTGAAAGTGTAGTCCTTTGAGGATTTCGGATTTACTATTGATTTCCATTCCAGTTTCCTACCTCAAGTGGGCCCAGTGCCTTGTTTTCTGTCCTTTCTTTTGGTGTGTGTGTGGTTTGCTAGGGATTTGATAAAAGATGGAAGCCATTAGCGTCAGCTCTAGCATGCCTCCTGAGACCTGTGCTCCTGCATTTTTTTAATTCTCACCTGAGGATATGTTTACTAATTTTAGAGAGAGGAAGGGAGAAAGAGAGAGAAACATTGATATGAGAGAGAAACATTGATTGGTTGTCTCCTTTACACACCCTGACGGAATTGAAACCAAAACCTAGGTATGTGCCCCGACTGGGAATTGAACCCACAACTTTTTTGGTGTACAGGATGATGTTCCAACCAACCGAGCCACCCGGACAGGGCTGTGTTCCTGCTTTTTCTTTGTCTTTTGAGGATTTCTCTAATTTTCTATGAGCTCTATGTGTTAAAATATTTTTAAGATATGTTTTATCCGGCCCTGGCTGGTTTGGTTCAGCTGTTAGAGCGTCAGCCCACCTTTCTGAAGGGTTTCGGGTTTGATTCTTAGACAAAGACATGTACTTGGGTTGCAGGTTCAATTGTTGGCCTGGTCAGGGATATGCAGGAGGCAATCAGTCAATGTGTCTCTCTCATATAGATGTTTCTCTCTCTCTCTCTCTCTCCCTCCCTCCCTTCCACTCTATCAAAAAATCAAGGGAAAAATATCCTCGGGTGAGGATTAACAACAACAAAAAGATGTATTTTATCCAATCTTTAGGTATTTTGTATTACAATGGTTTTCAGGACATTTAGTTCACTACATTGCTGGAAACAGAAGTATTATTTGCTTCTATGATGTGGTTTCTGAACATCCCAGTGTCCCTTCTCTGGGCTTCCCTATTTAATATTTCTTTTTCCTGTGAAGGCCAGCCCCATCACAGTTCTTGAGATGTGGGACCTGACCAGAATACAAGTTAATCATTATTTCTCAACTCTGTATGTACTGTGTCAATTCATGCAGCCTAGGAATACATTAGAATGTTAAACATTGGGTCATTATTAATTTACTTGGAGTTTCTGTTTAACTAAAAATGAACAGATCTTTTCCTAGATGATTTTACTTTTTTGAAATGTAAATATAGGACAATTAAAAATTTTTTGTTTTTGTTTCTAGTGCCTAGCACAGAGTAGGCTCTTAGTAAATGAATGCTTTTACATTTCTCACTTTAAGCTTTTCATATTAGATATGACCTTGTTTTAGCATAAGATATTTTATTTTAAATATTTATTGATTTGAGGGAGAGAAATATCAATTTGTTGATTTATTTATTGATTTGAGAGAAAGAAATATCGATTTGTTATTCCACTTATTTATGCATTCATTGGTTGATTCTTGTGTGTGCCCTGACCGGGGATCAAACCTGCAACCTTGGCATATTGGGAAGGTACTCTAACCAATGGAGCTACCAGGCCAGGGCACCATAAGATATTTTAAATCCTGATCCTGTTATTGAGTATATTAGCTACTCTCTGGGCATTGTATGATCTGTAAGTTGGATGTTTTCATTCAAATAGCTAAGGATCAAACCAAGGACACCTCTCAAGCCCTAAAGACTTCTTCATAGGTTGATATCAGTTATTTAATTATAGCTATCTGTGTGTTGGTTTTAGTTTTTTGGCCAGCCATGAGTATGCCTAAACATACTATTTTCCCACCCATTATTTCACAGTTGTCACCAGGTTAAAATGAGAAGCTTTGCCAGAGACTCTAGAGCAGCGGTTCTCAACCTGTGAGTCACGACCCCTTTGGGGGTCGAATGACCCTTTTACAGGGGTCGCCTAAGACTATCAGAAAACATATTTCCGATGGTGTTAGGAACTGAGACACGGCTCCTCTATTCGTCTCCAGGCGGGTCTGCCCACATGCAGATACGCCCACATATAACGTGAAGAACTGTATTAAAGGGTCACGGCATTAGGAAGGTTGAGAACCACTGCTCTAGAGGGAGCTCTCTGCAAACCCACCAGGTCCGGGGCCTAGAACAGCCCTGGCCTTAAGAAGCTCTAATACTTTACCCTTTAACACTTCTGGGCAGGTGCTGGTGGATGTACCCTGTACCACAGACCGCCATTCTCTTCATGAGGAGGAGAACAACATATTTCAGCGGTCGAGAAAGAAGGAGCGGCAGACGTTACCTATGCTGCAGGTGCAGCTTCTTGCGTGAGTAATAGACTTACAAAAACTCAGACTCTGTGCCAGAATACTCTGGGGGGTCTGGGGGACTGGAAGCGGTTGCCAAGACCATCACCCATAGAAGGGTCTTCTGGCTGTGGACCTGATTGGAAGAGACAGACATCATGGGATGGTCCGTGTCTGGAGCATAAAAACTTTATGTGGTAGGACATGCATAGTAGTGTGGACTGCACAGATTCATGTATGTTTGCTTATCTCCATGTTAGTCCCAGTACCAGTAAGTAGCTCAAGTTTGAAAAATAGTTGCTGAAGTCAAGGTTCTGTAGGGCTTGGGTAAGGACTCAATCCATAGCCAGTATCAAGGTTTGGTTCATAACTCTAGAACCAGAGCTCAGGGGATCATTTCAAGAAGGCTTTTAGAGGAGAGCCCTTGGAATAAGGTTGGGTTGCTCTCTCTTGAGGATGACTTTTCATTGTGGAAGAAACTTCATAGGCTGTCTAACCCAGCTACCCATCCCACAGTAGACACCTCTATCCATGCTTCCAGCTCCTTCTCTTGCCCTCCTACTTCTGGGAAGTTCACTTGTTACTGTTTTGTCTCTTTCTGGTTTCAGGGCTGGACTCCTTGCCACCAAACCGGGAGGCCACGTCGTCTATTCCACCTGTTCACTCTCACACTTACAGAATGAGTATGTGGTTAAAGGCACCATCGAGCTCCTGGCCAATCAATATAGCATTGAAGTTCGGGTGGAAGATCTCACTCACTTCCAAAAGCTTTTCATGGACACATTCTCTTTTTTCCCATCCTGCCAGGTTGGGGAGCTGGTAATCCCAAACCTCATGGCCAATTTTGGGCCTATGTACTTTTGCAAACTGTGTAGACTGACATAGCATCACCCTGTTCCTGAAGCCCTAGTGTACGAAGACAAAGGGTGTATTCCCATGGAGGCACCGGAAGCTGAGACCGGTGGCAAAGATGCACTCTGGGTCCTATCTCCATCTGGTTCAAGTCTTTCTATAGATAGTTTTTAGCAATAGGAAGTAGGAGTTTTTTTTGTCCTGCTGTCTAATTGTGGAGCATCAGCAGGTTTTTAACTCACTTATATCCAACCCCCCACTTCCCATCTCTAAGCCTGTACTAAAGATTCCTGCCACCCTGGGGGCTTAGAAGGAGGATCTAGTGAGCAGGCCCACACTTTAAGCTGTAAACTTGGGAAGAAGCATTTAGCCAATAAAATTGTTGAAGCTTCATAGAGCTAAGGCTGTGGTTGAGGGCCTCATGTTAGTCTAAGTACTGTTAGTTCTACTTGTACCAGCTGCTGCTACTGAGCACCAGCTCCCAGGTGCCCAATGTCTAGGATCACAGTCTGGTTACAGGCCTCTGGTTGCAGAGCCCCTCTTACACTTGAAGTTAGTTCTGCATGATCAGTCTTGAGCACTTGGTGGGCCCAAACAAGGCTATCTAGTTTCTTCATATGGCCTATGGTCTACTTTAAGAAACAAGTAACTAAAGATGTTAAGCCAGTGCAGCCTGCTTACTTATATTGAAAAAGCTCTCCTAAGCTGAATAATTCCAGCTTTTCCTCCTGCTGTCAGCAGCACTGCTGCTTAATTGTGGTTGGGGAAGCTGCTCTGTCACAGGGCTGTGATACAGTAAAACCTCAATATAACGGACTAATTCTGGCGAGGGGGGTGTCCGTTAAAGCTGAAAGTCTGTTAAATAATAAAGTAGGTTTTCCAAATGAATATATTAAAAAATTGACAAATTTGTTAGTTTACCTGTTTTCACTTATGTAGACAGGTTTGTGTAATTAAAATTAAATATGTATGAAAAGTTTTTTATATGTATTACAGTAATTTTATTTTGTATTTATTTTTTTATTCCTCACTCGAGGATATTTTTCTACTTATTATCAGATAGAGTGGGAGGGAGGGAGGAAGAAAGAGAGAAACATTGATATGATAGAGTCACATCAACTGGCTGCCTCCCACATGACCCAACCAAGGTTGGGGACAAACTGCAACCGAGGTTTGTGCCCTTGACCAGAATCGAACCTGCAACTCATTGGTCTGCGGGCCAATCCTCTAACGGCTGAGCCAAACTGTCCAGGGCTGTATTACAGTAATTTTAAATTTATTCTGAATAGGGTCTAGTAAATGCCTGCATTTACTAGGCACCTCAAGTAAACATACGTACATGCACCTCAAGTAAACATACGTACATGGCTGAAACTGCTGCAGAAGGTCACAACACACAGAACCAATCACTGCACTTGATTTGGTGTGATCACATGATAATTATTCACCAAATTTTTTTTTTTTTTTTTAATCCTCACTCAAGGACATTCTTTCGTCTTTTGTTCAGATAGAGTAGGAGGAAGAGAGAGAGAGAGAAAAACATCGACGTGAAAGGGACACATCGAGTGGCTGCCACTCGCATGACCAGCCAGGGCCAGGGACAAACTGCAACCGAGGTATGTGCCCTTAGCGGACACTGAACCCGGGTCTCTCTGGGACTGCAGGCCGACACTCTTAACCGCTGAGCCAAACCAGCCAGGGCTCACCAAATGTTTTTTTTACTATCAGTGACTTTTGGATTAAATATGTAGACTGTAGTTATAGATATGTAATATTTATTTATGTTGGTGAACTTACCAGTGTTTTTTTTCTTTTTTTTCTTAATTTATTTTTGTTACAGATGTTTCTCCTTTTTCTCCCATTGACACCCTCTTCCCCATCTCCCCCTGCCCCGCCCCCAGCTTTGTTGGCTATGTCCATTGGTTATGCATACATGCATATAAGTTCTTTGGTTTATCTCTCTCCCACCCCCACCCCCTCTTCTGAGGATTGTCAGTCTGTACCCTACTTCTATGAGTCTGGGTCTATTTTGTTCATCAGTTTGTTTAGCTCATTATATTCCAGAAATAAGTGAGATCATGTGATATTTGTCTTTCTCTGCCTGACTTGTTTTGCTTAGGATAATACTTTCCAGATCCCTCCATGTCATCTCAAAAGATAAGAGATCTTTCTTACAGCAGCATGGTACTCCATTGTGTGTATGTATCACAGTTTTTTATCCACTCGTCTACTGCTGGACACTTGGGCTGTTTCCAGATCTTAGCTATTGTAAATAGTGTTGCTGTGAACATAGGGGTACATATTTTCTTTCTGATTGGTGTTTCAGGCTTCTTAGGGTATATTCCTAGAAGTACCACAGTGTTTTTTTCAACATATGGCTTATTTGCTGAAATTTGTTAAAAGTAACAGTGAATTAATAACAAAAAAATAACCTGTTAATTATAAGCAATTTTTGGTTAAAAGATTTTTAAATTTAACAGGGTGTTGATTTTCACATATGACATGTGAATTGGAAATTTTGTCTGTTAAATCTGAAGTCCGTTAAATTGAGGTCTGAAAAATCAAGGGTTTACTGTACTCCTTTGTATTTCCTCTATTGTTCATTCCTCTAGCAAGTATTCCTTGAGCTCATGTGTGACAGGTAGTCAGGGAGCTGCTGGCGATGTAGCAGTTTGGACTGTGGGGAATAATGAGGCCTCATCCTTGGGAATGGCAATGCTCCTCTTTTGCTTTCTGAGCACCTAGGGATCTCCTAATGTCTTGTTATTTTCTGTTTTTGTTTTGTTTTATTTTCCTTGTTCCTGAACTGTGGCTGAACTCTGGTGCCAGTTGTTTGGGCCTCAAATAACTCAGAGCTCTTCCTTAAGCATCATAGGGCCTCACCACACACATTGTGTTTTGGGGAGTGACATTACATCATTTACTATTTGCATGCTAGTTTTGTTGTTTTTATAACTTTAGCACAAATAAAGCAATACCTTAATGGCAGGGATATTAAAAATTGCTTGTGGTCACTTGCAGATACTGTTTTTTAAATTTTTTTATCATTTTTATTTTTTAAATCCTCATTCGAGGACATTTTTCCATTTTTGTTCAGATAGAGTCGGGGAGAGAGAGAGAGAAACATGGACGTGAAAGGGACACATCGATTGGTTGCCACCCACATGACCCAACCAGGGCTGGGGACAAACTGCAGCCGAGGTACATACCCTTAGTGGGAACCGAACCCTGGTCTCTCTGGACCGCAGGTCAATGATCTAACCGCTGAACCAAATCGGCCAGGGCGATTTTTTTTTTTTTCCTCACCCGAGGACATTTTTCCATTTTTTGTTCAGGTAGAGTGGGAGGGAGAGAGAGGAACAGAGAGAGAGAGAGAAACATCGACGTGAAAGGAACACATCGAGTGGCTGCCACCCGCACAACCAACCAGGGCCGGGGACAAACTGCAACCAAGGTACGTGCCCTTAGCGGAAACCGAACCCGGGTCTCTCAGGACCGCAGGCCGACGCTCTAACCGCTGAGTCAAACCGGCCAGGGCCAGGGCGATTTTTTATATTAATTTTTTTTTCCCTGAAAAACTGGTCCTTGTGCAGAAAAGAGTGCATAATTTTAGAACCCTGGTATTCTTAGCTCTTCCTACTTTCCTTATCCTTTTTCTTCTTCTGTCACTCCTTTTGTTCTTTATGCCTTTCCTTGTTTGGGTATTAGAGTTGTCAGCTGAGAGAGATTTAGATGAGGTTAAGCTTTCTCCTTTCTTGGGATTTACATTGTAACTGTGGCCCCTGGAAGACCTTCTAGACTCAAAATCCTAGTGAACCTAGGAAGCTGGATCTCCAGGGAGTAGGATCATAATTAACTTCTTGTGTGGTATGGGCTTCCTGCCTGTTGTTTACTCAGATGCCTGGACTTTTGCCCTTAGCCTCCTGGGTATGCAGGCTGGTACTAATTGAATTCTAAGCAGTGTTAATTCAAGAGTAGAGGGTCTCCTTCCCCTGAGGTCCAAGTCTAATTGGAGACAGAGAGACCCAGGTAAGAAAAGCAGACAAGTACTTTGAAAAACAGTTTATCTCCTGTAATTGAATATTAACTTACTTTACCAACCCAGTTATTCCAATACTTGGGATAAATCCAAGAGAAATTTGTACATGTACACCAGGAGACATATACAAGAATGTTCATAGCAGCCCTAGTCTCAGAAGCAAAGCTGAAATGCCCATGAACAAGAGTGGACAAATAAACGAATTATTCACACAATGGAATATTATTCAGCTGTTAGAACAAATGAACTACAGTGACACATAGTATGGATGAATCTTAGCAATAAAATATTTAAAAGTTTAGTCCCAAAATATTAAATTTAACATGATGTCCTTTAATAAAAATGTAACAAAATGCCCTTATTTTACTTACATACAATATAACTTATTAATTTAAATGTACTGCTTAATGACTTTTGGTAATTATTCCTTTGCACTGAATCACCTTTCTCCTATCCCTGGTACCAGATAATCACTGATCTGCTTTCTGTCACTATAGTTTCACCTATGTTACCAGACTGAAGAGGTCGTTTGCCTGTGTGCATCAAAACCCAGTAAGACATGAATAGGAGTTTGCAGCCAGAAAAGTAAGGATTTATTAAGGAGATGATGCCATGCCCTGATTGGGAAAAAATCATTAACCATGGAGACTAAGGGAATTAGGGTCATGGTCAGGATTGTGGTCTCTACTGACTGGTCAGCACTAGGGTAGGGGTGGTTGATCATTGCATCTGGTCCTGATGTCAGCCATGGTGTTGATTCGTCTGGCTGCTCAAGGATGCGGTTGGTGGGGTTGTTCTGAAGCTGAAACACAACTGAGGCCTAGATGCTCTTTCTAGTTTGACCAAAACTCTCTGTGATCAACACACCTGAGGCTTTGTTTCTGAGGCTATTGCATGCTGACCAGAATCTCATTGCCCCGAGGGCTCAATGGTTAAGCAAGGGAAAAGGGAGGTGGGTGAGTCAGGGCACTAGATGCGGCCAATTTGAGTCAAAGGAAATAAATAAATAAATAAAGGCAGATGAAAGAAAATAAGGTTCCTGTGTGGTTACACCTGTTCTGGAATTTCATATTGTGGAAGATAGAGTTGATTTACAGCTGGATTGCAAAGCCCTTGTCTTTATCTGAATATCTGATTTTTCTCTCTTGGCCAAGGTTAGGGCACTGACCTAACTGGTTACATGTGTTTGGCTTGATTACATGGTCAGAGTAGCATAAAAGCCTTGCTGGGAACTTCTAATTTGAGCTCTCTCAAAGCTAAGAAACACAGATTATGGTAATTCAGTCCAAAGATAGAGTGCTTTATTTCATATCCTTGCCTAAAACTTGGAATTGTGTTTTAAACTTTTTTCTAGAAGGTATGTCTTGGTGTCTCACTGTGGTTTTATTTATTTATTTTTAATCCTCACCCAAGCATATATTTTTATTGAATTTTAGAGAGAGAGGAAGGGGGGAGAGAGAGAGAGAGAGAAAGGGAAACATCCATGTGAGAGAGAAATATCGATCAGTTGCCTCCCACATGCACCCTGACTAGGGATCGAACCTGCCACCTTTTGGTGTACAGAAAAATGCTCCAGCCAACTCAGCCACCTGGCTAGGGCTCATTGTGTTTATTTATTTATTAAGATATGTTTTTATTGATTTTTTTTTAGAGAGAGAGGAAGGGAGAGAAAGAAACATTGATGTGAGAGAGAAAAATTGATTGGCTGCCTCCTGCACACCCACACTGGGAATTGAGCCCATAACCTGGGCATGTGCCCTGAGCGGGTGAACTGGGACCTCTCAGTCCAAGGGACGGACGATGCT